TTTTGGGACTAACTTGGGCGGTATCACTTTGGAATGGGTTTAGATTGATTCCGCCCAATACCCAAATCTATTTTCTACATATTTTTTCCCTTTAATTCATTTTTTATTTTTTATATAACTTTAATGTTTTTAATTTATTAAATTTCTTTTAGTTTTATTAAATAAACATGCAAGTGCTTTATACTCAGGATTCCCACCAAAAATTGGATTAACAATAAAGGAAAAGATAGATATACAGTCATATTCCAACATATATCAAGATGGCCAAGGCACTTAGGGTGTTGAATATTTATGCTCATCATTGTCCAAGGATGACAGGTCTAAACTGACTGAAATGCTGGAAATTCTTGTGGATAATGACTAGGAAGACTGCTAGATTATATTCGCAGGTATGACTATAAAAATTGTTAAAGATAATTTTTGAATCTAAGACTCCGTTTGGATTGGCTATTTTTTCAAAAAATAATTTTTTCAAATACAATATTACAGTAATATATAATAACTCAAAAAACATCCCATCCATATTAGTATATCAAATATTTCAAAAAAAATTTATAGTAAAAATTTTTCATATACACTGCTACAATAAAATATTTCAAAAACACCCCAAAAAATAACTAATCCAAACGGAGCCCTTGCTATTTGAGCCCAATGGGTACCCAAGTATTTTCCAAAATTTCCCATCAATTAATGGGTACAATTGAAATTTGTCCCATTTTAAACCCATTATCAAATTCCAGTACCCATACCGTCCAAAGTCCCCATGGGCATGGGTAACCCATTGGAACTTGGGACAAATTGCCACCTCTATGAGAAGCACATCCCCCCTTCCCTTCTGAATTTTTTGTTTTTATAGTTTATAACGTATCAAGTCTCGAGTACAGGTATAAACTCTTCCACCTATTCCCATCCTTAATAGATATTTTCTTCATCAATGCTGAGAAAAGTCAGAAACTTGAGTTGGATAACCATCGGTCTTGTTCATTGGAAAACATGCTAGTTTAGATTGCTATTTTTCGGGAGCTTTTTTTTTTTTGTTAGAAAAATACACTATAAATCTGTAATTATTTGATATATGTAAAATTAAAAATATGTTCATAAAAAATATAAAAATTTTTTATTTTAAAAAAAATGACAATCCAAACAAGGAAGTCGAGTAGTTTATGAGAAATGACACGCGAGGAACCTCACCTCATTAGGTAGGTGTTTTATATGAAAGATATCTTCTTTCTCTGCTGTTATTTTTTTTCTCAGACAAAACACAAAATGTGAGCAATGGAACAAATTATCTCAGATAAAACACAAAATGTGCGATGCAATAATACTTTTAGTTTTTTTTTGGTGGGCTTGTTTAGATAATAAAAAAGAAAAAATAATTCTACATCAAACTCAAAATGAACCCACTTAGTCCGAGGATAATAGATTTTTTTTTTCATGAGATGGTGAAAGAATAATAATATATTGAACCAAAACTCGATGAATAACCTACCACTAAACTGAGTGCGAATGGACAGATTGGTAGTTTTATTTAATTAGTGTTCTTTTCCGAACACTTCATGGCAGTGCATGCTTTAATTTTTAATACAGTAATGGGTCACTTCCGGTGGGTTACCATTCACTAATTAACAATGATTTATTCTTAATCATTTTGGTGGTTAGCTCAGCCTGGGGATATTGGTGCATTATGAAGGATATATTTTTTTTTCCCACTTTTCTGAATGATACGTATACAAAATTGGGAAATGGGGCAGGAACGGTTGGCAGTTGACGGCCATGATTTGGCCAAAAAATTTTGTGCGGCTCAGATCACATCTTGTAACTCGATTTTTACGTCGTGTGTGGGACCCACAAAAATTTGATCTAAAGTTACGTTGTGTGCAAAAAAAGTTACACCGTGTGTAATCAAAGTTATGCACAGTGAAAAATGCACACAACCCGCAAAAACGATTGCACCTGTAACCGTTTGTGCCCCTTGTCCACAAAATTGTTGGCACTGCCATCCCTTCCTCTGGCCCAGAAAAAGTAGGGGCAAAAGAAAAGTTGATGTTCTTTTTCTATCCATCAACTTTTGGTAATAGTAGTATATTTACTTGTAATTTCATTTTCACACTTAAAATACTATAATCACCTAATTGAAGACGACAAGGCCGGTCATAAATAAGGTACACTAACTTGTCATATTTTGATGCAGCTAACCGAACGGTGATAAATTACCAAATGGAGAATTATGAGAAAGTAACCAACGATCCTCTTTTAACATATATGTCCTAACCAGATTAAGGTGAAAAGAGGATTTGGGTTGTCATTCTTGATTTCACTTCTGAGCCACTTCCATGCCTCTATGACCACTCAAAATTCAGGCGACTTGTTGAAAGGGTTTGGTGACTTGAAGTCTAAGTGACTGGCTTCAAATAAATAAAAAATAAATAAATAAAAGCCTTGAAGTCTAAGTGTTAAACTTTGGGTGAAGTTTAAGGGTCGAGTTAGCTTGAGACTGCAAAAATGAACAATATTTCGAGCTTTGGGATATCATACTCTTTCAGCTGCATATATATGACTAATACAAGTTTCAACTTTCTAGTAGCAATAGTAGTTAACTTACCCCCCCCCCCCTTCTTTTTTTTGCCCTGTCTGTGATAAGAGCAATCAGAGTTGCCTAATAAAACTCAGATAAACTCAGGGTTGATTACTCCTAAGTCCTGCCAGCTTGTTAAGTGCAAAAAGGATGCGAGTCCGCAGTGTCACGGGTGTGGCCGCCATTAAGCCCGTTGCCAGCCGGAGTAGATTAATAAGATACTTGAAACAACTAATAAAAAGGCAAAAAGGTTGTGTCCTTTACACACGCATACTCCAACATTAAAAACTCCATAATCAGTTGGCATCTGAACTTTCTTTCTTTCTTTTTTTTTTTCGCCGGGGCGGTGGTCACCACCAAGCAATTAAATCTTAGTGGCGGGAGTTCAATTTTTGTCTTTCATCAATTTGTCACTATAAGTGGCTGCATTCAATAGTTTTTTTTTTATTTTTATATGATGATTCAACTCCCATCGGCTCCCGCTCTCCCTAAATTATGATAAATTAGAGTATAGAAATATGACCATTGCGACAAAAAAAAAAAAAAAGTTGCCATTTGGGCTGACCACGCCATGGATCACAAGTTCTTTAAGGTTCGTGTCTGATTTGTGCATGTCGTCTCGCACTCATTCTCAAAAGGCTACACAAAAGTATTAATTTGTAACACTATATTTAAAATAGAGGTGTGCTTCAACATAAAAAAAGTTGTTAGTTGTTACATAGTGCCATAGCTTCTTCATATGTTATCAGGAGCAAAAGCAAAAGGTCCTTGGAAAAAACAGAAAATGTTCTCACAATACACACAACATACGACTGGAATACTACAACGTATGCAGATTTGGTCGGAAATGTTCAAGAGAAATGGGTAGAACATTTTGGTTTGGTGAATGCTACATTTAGGTAAACTTTTGTGCTCGGTTGTCGTTAATAAGAAGGACTTCAATGCTGAAACATGTTGCATGCTGCACTGTCAAGTTAGCCTCTCATTGTCCTTCCTTGATAGCATTTTTATTCAACGAGTGAATTGGAGTCAGAGAGACTTGCTTTAAAGTGCAAATATCACTTCTCTCACTACTGCTTTTTAACCCTTCCTTTCTTTTCCTTCCCAAAAAAAAAAAAACCTTCCTTCCTTCCTTATGCTTACAAATGTTGGAATTTCTCTAAAACAGGTTGTGCCTGGGCTCACAAAGCCCAACCCAACTCAGAATGTCCTCTGAAGCTTTCAAAATGGATCAAATCTTTCTACTGATGTTTTTTTTTTTTCACCTGAATAATCTTTCATCCAAACACACTCATTCAAACTCCCTCCCAAATTATTAGTGAATGAATTGTATTTTGAGAGACTAATTTAAAAATGCGAATATCACCTCCTTTATCTGCACTTTTAGAAATTATTTCTAACCAGAAAACTCGTCACGCAAAACAAAAAAAAAAGGTGAAAACAAGATGTATCCATTAATATTAATCGTTTTTTTTACAATTGTTCATGCCCCTTGTTCAAATAACCCTATCTAGGATAACCCAAGCAAGTTGGTTGGTAAGAGTTAAATTTGAACGTAAATTTTATTATTGAGATTATTTGACGTGTACAGCAGGAATTTAGGCCTTGTTTTGATAGCATTTTTTTGGATTTTTTGTAGAAAAATTATTGTAACGATTTGATGTATGTGAGGAAAAAAGGTAATAGGAAAATGTGATTACGGAAAACGATATAATTTTTCGACAAAAAATGGCTATCCAAACGGGGCCTTAGTTTTTTTCCTTTTAAATAAGTTAAAAAAGGGAGAAAAACTAGTACTGCATTTAATTGGCAGCGAGAATCTATCCTTTTTTTCAGAAACTGAAATAAACTCACACACACTTAATTAGACTAAGCACGAGAGTTAATAGTTAAATCGGCCCGAAGGTCGAAACCAATACAAGAAGGGATCTACAAGAAACACAAATTCAGCCAATTGGTGGTAGCAGAATCCATCCGCTGCCGCCATCTACGCTTAACTAAGGTGACCAAAGGGGCGAACTTAGGATTCTCTGAGGGACCCCACGAACTCCCGCCCACTCCTGCAAGTATACCCAATCCCGAAGCGCCACCTGCACACCAACTTGTCAGTTTCTGGGTAACTGTTGCTGAAAAAATTTGGCGGGCAAATCTATCCATAGCAAAATTCAAACAGCACTTTTTAAGCAAAACCCTAGGTAACCTGACCCCCCCCCCTTTCCCCCCCAAACCATCCCAGCCGCTGCCCCATTTCCCCCATCATTTCACTCCCTCCGTCTTTCTTTTCTCTCCTTCTTCCTCCCTCTTTTGCTGTCTTTCCCTGAACTTCCTCCCTAAATTAAATGTTTTATATGTATTTTTGTATTCATTAAGGGTTCTCTAATTCGTGGTTTATGCAGGTTAGTTTCTGTTCTATAAATTTCTCGATAATAGTGCTGGATATGGGTGTTGGATCGAACTGCTCACTTTTCTGAACTGTTTTGGTTTCTTTCGCTTTTAATTTAGCTGCGGATTGATAATTTTTGGGTTGGAAATGTAATTCTCAAAAACTGCAAAGAAGTTTAGGCATTTCTGAATACTACTCCTAGTAGCCTAGGGATTTGTGTACATTTAAATTAGGTTGTTTATTGAATTTTATGTTATTTCTTGGTGTTACTTTTCTGCAGGGGAATAGCTTGAAGTTTTGTTGAGGATGAGATACATGTAGTATTTATTCAGGGTAGGGTCTCTATTTTGTTGTAATCTCCCCGTTAATTAGTTGGATTTATTGTTAATTACACTTTTTATATGCATATCCACACTTTAGCGATATTCTGTTCTTTATTTAAGTATTTCAGATGATCCCCCTTCTTTTTTTTTTAGTTTGTTTTTTTTAACTAACCTTTATACTTCAGGTTTAAGTAGAGGGTATTATTTGAATGGCTCTGGATGATGTGGACCTTTCGTGGTATGTAAATTTTTAGTTTCTTACTGGATATACTTTTCCAGTTGCTTTTTCGTAGTTTTCTGCTTTTTCTGATAATAAAAATAATCTTTTTCTTTGAAATTTAGTTTCATTTCATTTGGGTACTCTATCTTCTTATCATTTTGTACGGTGTAATATGCTTGTAAATTTTATGCTTTTAGTTTGAATTTGGATCATTTCATGAATTCTGTTAGGGTTTGAAGTTGAAGTCTGGTTTAGTTGCAGGAGAAAGGTGAGGCCTTGAAATCGGAAGATCGATCTGGAGACAGCCAAAAAGGAGAGCAATTAGCAGAACCAAGTTTAGAATGGGAAAAGTTTCTCCAAAGGACAGGGAAACTAAGACTGGCAAGCAGAAAAGAAGGCCAAGGAGTTCAATCAACAAGTATCTTAGACCGGGGGCTCTTGCCCAGCTTCGATACAACAAAGCATCTGCTGCTAAATCTTGTACAGATCTTGGGAAGAAAAGGGTCGCTCTGGTGGATGCAGACAAGCAAAAAAATGATGTTATACTTGAAAATAAAATTATCAACAGAAGCCCCACAATTTTATCACCTGTAAAGTTTGGGTTTGGTTCTGCTATGGAGAAGAGCCCCACCATTTTATCGCCCATACGATCTGGGATTGGTCCTCTTTTTGGGGCTATTGACAGTTTTAAGCAGAATAATTTGCAGAAAACACCAAAAACACCACGTGCTGAAGAGTGCAAGTCTGAGTCCAGGATTGAGTCTCTCCCCATGGATTTACTGGTATTTACTATCTGCATGACTCTCTTGATTGTTGACTCCTCACTAGTGTCTTCAACTTTGAGTTCCACTAGTTTGTTACAAAGATCTTATCAAACTACTTTAAATTCGTTATTGGTTGATATTCTTAGATCGCAAAAGCACTGCAATCTTAGCATTCTGATCTTCAACATTTCTCTTCTGCATAATCCAGAAAGCTGATACGTTAAAGTATTGCTGTGTTCTGTTTTAATGCATCTAGTTTTCATTAAAATCAATGACTAATTTGTCATCGTTGTCTGATTGAGGTCAAAATAATGTGCCACCTGCACCATGACCAGCTCCGAGCAGTTTTCCATGTCTCTCAGAAAATCAGGAAGGCGGTGAGTCTATTTCTCCTGGGTCTCTATGACTGAGTCTTTTGTTTTTGGTTTTTAGTGGGGATGGGGGGTGCTTATGTGAATTGTGTTCTTTCTTTTCCTCTGTGGACACATCTCTTTCAGAACATATGCAGTTGATGCTCAATGGCTCATTGGTGCTTATACTCATTTGACTAGGTTATACAAGCAAGACAGTTTCACTTTAATTATACTACGCCTGATCGAACTCGACAAGAGATGCTGAGAACAATGACTCCTTTGCCAACCGATCACTGGCCCTTTATGAGGTTTGAATGGTGCTCTATCTTGAGACTTGGTTCTCTTTCCTTGTTTTTCCCCACTGAAAATTGATCAATACAGTCACATATTGTTTCAATTTATACATTTGAGTCACTTGCAGCAAGGGAGATGGAAAAGGTATTTGGATACCTAGCCCACACACCCCAAAGGCACCAAGGCATGGTCCTAGGCCTCCCTCGCGTCTCAAGTTTACTGAGATGCGGCAAATTGCAGCTGTTCTCTTCCAGGAGTCGGCATTTCCTTCAAGGTGCTTGGTACCATCAGCATTATCCCAACCTATATGCAAATCCTTGGCTTCTAATAGAGCATTATTTTATGAGGAGGAGTTATGCCAGGCGGTTGCTCAGAATAAACTCCGTTGATCTTTATGGCCGTATAATATTTATCTGCTATTGGTATGTATATAGTATGATATCTACCTCTTTGCCTTTACTTGTTTCAATTGGAGAGTGCAGTTTTGTAGTCTTGCTGGAGCACTTGTTCTGAGCTATGAAGTTTAAGGATGGCAAAGATATATTAATGATTGAGTGAATAAAAACTTCAGACAGGGTCTCTTGTATAGTATATATATAAGTATATTTTGTTTTTACAGTTGGTTTCCTTTTTTTTTGGGTCTGCTCGCTCTTCTTTTTTCTGTAAATCTGGAATGTCGGCATTGAATGCTTCGGAGTCTATGTTTCACCATGGAGTGAATTTTGAATCCTGTAAATTAGTCTGCTCGCTCTTATCAATGTTAGATGCTTTACCCAGAGTTTCCAATTTCAAAAGGTTGGGTATTAAGTTTCCCTTAGTATTGCCATGAAAAGTATCCAAATATCGTTTCTTTAATTTTCTTTTTTTCGCTTAAAGTGGAGTCAGTCTATCAGACACTGGTGCAGAGTACTTCTGCGGCCGTTGATGGACGCCCTTCATTTTATCAACAGGAACAATGATTATCATTCGTAGTCTCGTAAATAAATGTTATTGAAGTTCCTCAGGTTTAATGGCCTGTAATTGTTGCTTCTTGACTGCACATCTGCAATTGATGTACCCTCAGTCCACTTAAGATGAGCGTGAATGAGATTTAACCAAATATTTGACGAGATTTCTGGTCCTTTTGGCTGAAATACTAACGCTAAATTTTTTTTTTGCTGCAATAATAACATTTTTATAATCTAATCTATTCTAACTATTAATGCTAATTTTTTTTTGCTGCAACAACAACATTCCTATAACCTAAAATCTATCTTAAATGCTAATGCTATTTTTTTTTGTCGCAATGATAATATTTCTATAATCTAATTTATTCTATTCTACAGGAATAACATTCGTATAATCTAATTTATTTTAAATATTAATATTTTTTTTTATCGCAACGATAATATTTCTATAACCTAAAATCTATTCTAAAATACAAATGCTATTTTTTTTTTTTGTTGCAAAGATAACATTCCTATAACTTAATTTATTCTATTCTACAGAAAGGAAAAGTCTAAAAAAACTGTGTAAGTTAACAGATATACAGATCTAGAGACTGTGTAAATTAATAGGTATACAAATTTGACTAGATAGATATACAGATCTGACTAAGATCAAGATTGTGTAAGGACAGGTATTCAAAGGGATGCTCTTATACCTCCTTTGAATTTTTTCATTGGAAGTGGGATTCGAACACAGCATCCTTTTTAAATTTTTTTCATTACAAGTGAAATTCAAATTCCCAACCTAACAGCTCGACGATTAGTTCTTTTGGTAGCCATTGAGCTAAAGCTCAGTAGTTTGAAATACTGATGCTAATTGCAAACAGAAATGTCATCAAACGCAATAACTGATGAGTCAAAGTGCGTGAGAAGTTAAGAATGACGCCTTCACATTCCTAACAATAACATACAAGAACGCGGAGGCCAAGTCAACACTGTAACGCAATTTCTAAATATTTTTCATTTATTCTGACGGGCAGAGGCAGAGAGGAAAGGCTACTAAGGGAAGGATCAGCCGCGGGTAATATGAGAAATTGTGTATTAATCTAAATTACTCATAAGCTGCAGCAGAATTTGATCACCGAAGTTTCATAATCATAATCGATTGAACAAGCAATTAGCAGGACAGATAACGTGAATCGCCAGCAATTAAAATGCCTTACGCTGTACCATTTTTTAAAACTGTATCCACAAACAGTGAAACAGAAATGTTTATTCAGAATATTACATAGTCAGGATTCCGTATAAAAAATGCTTACACAAACAGAATCCAACAGACATACGAACAACAGAATTTAAACATATCTCTCCAGATGAAAGTAATAAATACAAATTTGTAAATGGTTAATTGTGCGCGGATTTTGTACAAGCCCAGAGTGACAACATGCTGCTACTGATCAATGAGCGCCCACAAGAAAAGGGTGCTGGCAAACACTGCATTCAATGGTCTCAGAACCAGAGGCCGGAACCTGAACCTGCAAAGAATTTAAGTCATAAATAATTGTTCATCTCATCAATTGCGAAAATACTTTAAAGCTTAACAAGACGAAGAAGGCCATGCTTCAAACCTGTAAGTGGACTGTGCAAGTTGGACATGCAACCTCTCTCGTCCGTGTTCCAAATCCATCAGAAGCTACATCTGCAGAAACTAGAGCTTTAGCTAAAGTTTAGGGTGCTCAATGTTCGACAAGTTCAATTCTTCTTCGAACATTTCTTTTTCTTTTATAACAAAGAGGCAATAAGAGCCCAATCTAAGCTAAGAGTGACTACCTGATGATGTCTTGCGATTTTTGTCCATCTCCTCCTGTAACACAATCAAATAATACAAAAACATAAACGGCATGTATGTCACCAGAAATTTGATGTGTGACATGCTATAATGTGTCTTCTAATTCAAAGTAAGAATCTGAAATTGTTTTAACAAGATTAGCATAAGCAGTACAATCCGTGATGATTCAAGTACACATGAAATACATTTGCAATATTACAATTCATTCTCATAAGAATCCTTGGAAAGGCAAGCATGAAAAGCTCATACAGGAGAAAATTGGAGACAAATGAGATCCTATGCAAAATGCTTGAGATTGCATGGGGCAAAACACTAATTATTTGACTGAAAGAATGAATTCAACATTCAAAGACTTTAACCTTAAACCAGGCATTTTCATGTGTAGCACCTTTTCTCTGAAGACAAATCATTTCAAAAGCAAAAAAAAAAGCCAAAGAATACATAGTTTGCAACTCTGTGTGCAGGCTAATCCGAACTTTAAATTCATGAACTGCTACTGAACTAAACAGCATGAACTCAAGCGCTCTCATATCATCCTCAAAATAAAAAGTCACTTCTAATTTAGCTAAATTGCAGCATCCTGAACAGCATATCAGTAGACTGTGTTACAGAAATCTAGTTTATGTAGAGCAGTTACCTTGAGTTTTCTCACAAGCTCCTCGTGACTCTGAGCTCCAACGAATCTGGCAGCTGCTTCCCTTGTGTTACTCAGCCTCTGAGTAACTTCTGCCTGCAAAGATGAAAGTCAAGAGAGCACGTCAATAGGAAGCCAGTTACCATACAATCAAATTGAATTATAAGTTTCAAATGTATCACTCTCCTTACAAAAGCATAAATAATAATTACAGATACCAAGTTCATACCAAGCATCGGTCACAAACACGAACTGGTTGAGCATTCTCATCAGCAGTAAGGGCAATTCTACCTTGTGTGCACTTGTCACAAAAAATATCCCCACAATTCCTACAATGATGCTGAAATGGACAAGAATGAAGCATGAGGTTCAACAATCAATTACGAAATTGTTTTAAACATCCAATTCTGTGTTATATAATGATTGTTTATTTTGCAGGGCACACCTTCCGGTTAAAAGCATTGAAAATTGATGAACACGCGGTACATTTGTTAACTGCTTCATCAGGAACCTAATGGGGACAAACAGAGCAAAGAAATCAAACACAAAGAAATAAGAATTCTGTTATGACAAATTCTTCACAAACAAAGTACGAAAATTTGACTAATAAAATAGTATAATAATCAGTTCTAACCCAGTGATCCTTCTCTTCATGTCCCAGCTTCATCAAGTTCATCCAATCAATAAATGCTTTCTTCCTTTCTGCAGGTTGGTCGGCATCCTTCACTGCATCTGAAGGTTTAGTTGTTCCGCCCATTTCCTTGACCTACTTGCATGGGATGAGGTATCAGAATATGTACCCGAGTAAATTGCAAGAATAGCAATCATGGGATGACTATATTCAGATGGCAGAAACCAAGGCCTAGTTGGAATTTATGCCAGTCACACCGTGCAAAAAAGAAAAAATGTGCACGCAGAAAAGCTACATGCTTGTACGTAAGATACAAATTCACCAAAGAAAAATGCCACAGTGGAGATCTTTAACCTGAATGCTTGCTGCTGCCACCGTGTCCAAAATATTGTTTGTTGTATAGCTATTCGATTTCAGCCTGATGCGTCTTGGTTCAATGTCAACAGAACTTTTAGCCCAAAATGCAAATATATACGAGTCCAACACCTAGAAAGAGAGCGCAAAATAATTTTCCATAAACTATTTAGCAAATTAAACAAGACAACGAGCTTAGATATGGAAATAGTTGCTGACTTACATCCCATCTGGTGACACCCTCAAGTGGGTATATCTTTAATGTCCGACTAGTCGCTGGATCAAGTATACGAATTCCATCTAAACCAATCTGTAACACAATTATTATGCCTAGTAATTCAGCAACAACAGAACGCCGGAAAAGATCTAAAAATCACATCTTTCTTATAAAGCAAACTAAGAAAAATCAAAATAATTTCATGCTCAATCCCTCCTAAATTTAACAATATAATGACATATCACAAACCTGGCAGAGCACATCCATGTCAGACTGACTTGCACCTTCGGATAAGAGCCTGACTCGGTATTTCTGCACGCTGCCCCTAGTATCATGCAGCTCCTCAGGCTTTGGAGCTGCCTTCACAATCTTAGGAAAGCTTCCAGACCCATTCTGCTCCTTCCCACCGGGAACATTAATGGGCCTCCCATAATCATCAAACAGCACTCCACCACTCTCGAGTCGAGACCGGGTCCCTTTAGCACCATAGGGCTCTGAATTTCCCCCATTATATTTATAAACCCCAGCATCATACATCCCCTGATCACCATATCCCCCATGACTAACATTATTCCCGAATGAATTGTCGTAATTCTGCGAAGAACCATCATAAGAGGCCGATGAATAAGGATACGACGGGCTATAACTAGGATTTGAATTGGGATAATCGTAACTAACAGCAGCAGATGCAGCAGCAGCTCCAGGATTCTGATCGTACGGATAATAGGAAGTTTCCAGATGAGGGAAAGAGTAGGAAGGTAGATTGGAGGGCTGAGAGGCGGCAGGGCTAGGGCTTATAGAATAAGAAGGGGCAGGATCAGAACTCCGGGAATGGGGAGGGTAAGTGGAGGAGGAATAATTACTGGCGGAGAAATCGGCGGAGGGCGAATAATTGGAGGAAACCGGCGGGGCAGAGGCGTAGGCGTAGGAGGGGATTGTCGGGGTAGGAATAAACTGAGAATCCACGGGGACGTTGGGGTTGGGGCCGGGATTAGGGTTAGGGCTCTGGAAGTCGGGTTGATAATACTGGTAATACGACGAGCTCATGTCGCTTTGTTGTATAATTAGTACCAGAATTTCGATCGGAAAATCGACCGGCCAGACGGAGAAGATAAAGATTTTTCTTTTCCCTTATGCTTTTTTGGGTCGGGTTTTAATGGAGAATGGAGATTTGGCGAAGGATGGATGGAAAGTGGCAGAAGATACAGAGTGGAAGGCAAGGAAGCAGGAACGGGGGCGGGGAAAGTCAAAAGATGTTTGATACGCGCTTGACGGTTCCTTCCTTACCCGCCAATGGCCGTTATTGTTCCTTCTTGTGTGCGTGGTTGGATTTTGGATCGTAGATCTTGGCGTCGGGTCCTAATTCGTTACTATTGGACCGAATAACCATTTGTACCCTTGAATTAATTATATACGGATCCTAGGCAGAGCACATCCATGTCAGACTGACTTGCACCTTCGGATAAGAGCCTGACTCGGTATTTCTGCACGCTGCCCCTAGTATCATGCAGCTCCTCAGGCTTTGGAGCTGCCTTCACAATCTTAGGAAAGCTTCCAGACCCATTCTGCTCCTTCCCACCGGGAACATTAATGGGCCTCCCATAATCATCAAACAGCACTCCACCACTCTCGAGTCGAGACCGGGTCCCTTTAGCACCATAGGGCTCTGAATTTCCCCCATTATATTTATAAACCCCAGCATCATACATCCCCTGATCACCATATCCCCCATGACTAACATTATTCCCGAATGAATTGTCGTAATTCTGCGAAGAACCATCATAAGAGGCCGATGAATAAGGATACGACGGGCTATAACTAGGATTTGAATTGGGATAATCGTAACTAACAGCAGCAGATGCAGCAGCAGCTCCAGGATTCTGATCGTACGGATAATAGGAAGTTTCCAGATGAGGGAAAGAGTAGGAAGGTAGATTGGAGGGCTGAGAGGCGGCAGGGCTAGGGCTTATAGAATAAGAAGGGGCAGGATCAGAACTCCGGGAATGGGGAGGGTAAGTGGAGGAGGAATAATTACTGGCGGAGAAATCGGCGGAGGGCGAATAATTGGAGGAAACCGGCGGGGCAGAGGCGTAGGCGTAGGAGGGGATTGTCGGGGTAGGAATAAACTGAGAATCCACGGGGACGTTGGGGTTGGGGCCGGGATTAGGGTTAGGGCTCTGGAAGTCGGGTTGATAATACTGGTAATACGACGAGCTCATGTCGCTTTGTTGTATAATTAGTACCAGAATTTCGATCGGAAAATCGACCGGCCAGACGGAGAAGATAAAGATTTTTCTTTTCCCTTATGCTTTTTTGGGTCGGGTTTTAATGGAGAATGGAGATTTGGCGAAGGATGGATGGAAAGTGGCAGAAGATACAGAGTGGAAGGCAAGGAAGCAGGAACGGGGGCGGGGAAAGTCAAAAGATGTTTGATACGCGCTTGACGGTTCCTTCCTTACCCGCCAATGGCCGTTATTGTTCCTTCTTGTGTGCGTGGTTGGATTTTGGATCGTAGATCTTGGCGTCGGGTCCTAATTCGTTACTATTGGACCGAATAACCATTTGTACCCTTGAATTAATTATATACGGATCCTAGTTTGGTTCTTAAATTTCAAAACGGAGCACATTAGTCCTCGAAATATTTTTGGACCGCAAATTTTTAAACACGTCTTTCGTGAATATATTTTTTAATTATTTTTTTATCTCATAAATATCAAATCATTATAGTATTTTTTTTATAAAAAATTTCAGAAAAATGCAATTCAAACAAGGCCACTTAAGTGAAATCGGTAATAGAAGTGGAACAAGTTCTATACTAAAGTGGGACAAATTTATATATGAGTTCTATACATTTTTTTTTTGTGAAAAAATGAGTTCTAAACTTAAACGAGACAAATTTATATGTAAGGGACTAAAGTTGAACAAAAATTTCATACTTGAAGGAATAACGTGGACAAATTTTATACTTTAGACACTCAGATGAGATAAATTTTATATTTGATGAACTAAAATGTCTCATTTCCTAAGTTTGAAGACCAAAATGATGATTTGGATATATTTTAACGGTGCAAAGTGTAATTAACCTTTACTATAATTATTTTGGCTTCATTTGTCTTTTATCAACAATTGCAAATTGACTTTTGTTGAATTTAATAAACCTAATCCCAGAAGAACCCTCAAAAGCCGGCAACTCTTGAGGGCCTCCTAGGGACTTATCTACCCAACTAACCCAACCCCCAACCCCCAACCCCGATGTTGGCTTCATTTGTTGATTTCCCTTTTTGGTTCCTAGCAAAGTACTGATGATATAAGCCCCTTCGTACTCTCAGAAACCTGAGAATTTCGACAGATAAATGAAACCCCAGAAGACACTTCAAAAGCCGGCAACTTTTGAAGTGCTCCTGAGTACTTAACTACCAAATCCCCCAAACCCCCCCAAGCGATGTGGGATACTAACCCCACAGGGTGCCCCGCTACTAAGAGATAACGACCCCGCTACTGATGATATAAGCAATTAAATTTTTTGTAAATAATCCACTATCGAACCAATTCTATATTTTTATGCGTTGTACGCGTGTTACAAGTTCGAGACCTGTAACTTGAAGAGGGTATAGCTAAAATATGTTTTAATTACTCGTTCACACGGATGTCTTCGTTCAATTTAATTTTACTTAAAGTATCAAAAAATAAATAAATACGCAGTTGCCCCCGATTTCAACCTTAATAATTAAGGATTAATGTGTGCATATTTACAAACGCACTACGTCACAAAATCGATACTTTAAGACATCTTTTCAGTGTCGACAAGTGATAATTCCTTTTCAAAGTTCTCATTATCCCACACTTCCACAGACCATTATTATTTACTACTCCCTCCCATTTTTTATAACTGACGTTTAAGAAATTCGCTCTGGTGTACTTTTATCTGTCGTTTTATTATCCCTATATAATATTAATTATTTGTTCACAATTTTATCCTTTTATCTCTTTTTTTCAATACAGGGTTCTTAATTATTAATCCTAGTAATTATTGCTTCTCTCTTTGTAACAACCATAGTAAAACAGCACAATTTAGTACTCTAATGAGATAAAATATGGGTAAATTGGACAATTAATGAGGGTATAAAAGGAAAGTAGTGTACAGATTTAAACAATGAAAATTTTTTCTTAATTGCTGTGCAAAATCTTAAACGCCAGTTATAAAAAAGGGGAGGGAGTACTAAAGTTTCTTGTTAATGATGTCCGACGATGCGTGGATGTGCACCAAACGCCTACCTAACTCCGCAAATGAAATTTTGTAGGAATCTTTATTAACCACTAATCAATCATGAGATGGACGAAAGAATTCTCATCTCACATACGTGGTATATCCTGCAAGAATAATAACACATTTTTCATTTTCAGCAGTAATTCTAGCTCAAGGCTTCAGAGGTGAACAAGAAAAATCTTGTTCTGATTTTTTTTTTTTTTTTTTTTTGCAGAAAATTTTTTACGTTATTTAGAAACATGTTTTTTAATCACATCTTTATCTTACATACATCACATCACAGAAAAATATTACTGATCATTATATCACATAAACTCATTATTTCCGCATTGATTGAAGCTTAACCACTATCAGCATGTTATTAGAAGAAGATTAGAGTATTCGATTCTAGCTAGCATCTTTTGATCAAACATATCCGATTAACTTTATTGCATCCGGACAAATGGGATGAGGAAACACTGCTCAGGCATCAACCGTCTGATTCTACTAGTAGCCCCCTAATGCCCAGTTAGAGCATTAATCACCGGCCACGGAAGCCACTCCAACTAGGTATATAATCATGATGATTGAAGGCAACCACTTACGCCATCAGATTAACTTCAAAAAATGACCACAAGTTCGAGGCTCCCTGCGATCAAATCAACTGCAGACTCCAGAAATTAATTGATAAGGGTAGAAATTTCATCGAAGGTTATGATAGCGTGGGGTCCCTGGGTGCCGACGTGGTCCGAGGACACATGGCTCAAAACAAGTCCTCCACGTGTGTGTCACTTGCGGGCTCCCCTGTTGCCGACCTTATGGCAACCGGTCAAAGTCGACATTTGCTGCCTCTCCTGTCTCTTAGCCTCTACTCTCTACTACTGCTATATATAGTCCCGGTGCTAATGTGCTGGGACTGCCACCAAAGGCGATTCTCTGGTACTTTCCGGCTGCATACTGCTTCTAGCTCGAACCTTATCGCACAACGTCAAAAAGCCAAGAAAAGAGTTTTCAAGAAATGGGTTTTTTAGACTACCTCTCAGATAGGTTTGAATGGCACAACACTTGGGGTGAGAGGAGAAAGCTCAAGAAACTGAAGAAAAGGCCCCTTCAGGTACGTAACCAATCAATAAATTTTTCCAAAAAGCAGTTATTAGACGTTGGTTTCTCATGCAAATAATAATAATACTTGGTTTTTTTTTTTTTTTTGGTTCATCAGACGGTGGATATAAGAGTGAAGATTGACTGTGAGGGGTGCGAAAGAAGAGTGAGGAAGTCGGTGGAACACATGAGAGGGGTTTCAGAGGTGGAGGTTGATCCGAAGAAGCACAGGTTGAGAGTAATCGGGCATGTGGATCCGGATAAGGTGTTGCGACGGGTGAGACATCGAACCGGGAAGAAAGCTCAGTTCTGGCCTTACATCCCCCAAGAGGTCGTCGAGCATCCCTATGCTCCTGGGGTTTATGACAGAAAGGCTCCGGCTGGTTACGTCCGGAACGCGGTGGATAATCCTCAGATTTCTAGCCTTGCTCGTGCCAGTTCCACTGAAGTCAAGTATATGACTGCGTTTAGTGATGACAATCCTAATGCTTGTTCCGTAATGTAAACTAGTTAGTATCCATCCATCGCGTGTGTGTATATTTACATGCAATTGCATGGGTTTTAAGAGTTCTATCCTTAATATCAGAACTGCTTCCTTTCTGAGAGAGAATAGAAGGTCTGTGAAAGGTTTCAGGCTGAACTCCCTCTCCAGGAATTATCGTCAAATCACATGACTTATCCACATTCTTGCAGCCAGTTTCCAAATTTCCCTTGACAATTTTCTCTTTCTCAATGTCCTGTATGGGAGTAGACTCAGGAATAGCAGCTTCATCAGAAGGTACTAATGAAGTCCTTTCTCGCCTTTTCTTCCGTTTCTTACTGCCCAGACTGGTGACCGGTTGGTCATCCTTGAGTTGTTCAGATGCAGCATTTGTGACGGATATGCTTTCCTGTTTGTCTGTCGTACAGGATGCCAGCTGGGTAACCTTTTTCCTTTTACTAGAATGTGAACGATCTCTGACATTTTCTTCCATTCCTAAGTTGAGGCTTTTCTCTACAGCAGGCTCAGATTGTGATGTTTTAAGAGCTGCCGCTATGTCACTCCAGTACAAATCTGAAGTCTTACGCCCATCAACATCTTTGTCTCTTATCTCCATCATAATTTCTTCTTGGGCATCTTCTTGGGCAGCACGACACCGGATGCATCTTTATGCTGTATAACCAAATGAGAGGACAGTCAAGTCAGCTTCTTTGTATTAGTTAGGTGATGATTTGCAATAAAGTGGCTTTTCTAACACATTTTTCTAAAGACGCCCCATCTTTTCTCTCGAACATTAATCGACCAAAAATATAATCAAAGATTGAACCATAATTACAACTAACTTCTACAAACAACGGTGGAAATTTCCCAATACTTGTACATCTAATTTTGCTGTTGCATATTTTAGCAGTTTGGCAATGGGTGTGAGGGAGTCATATGCGGTAACCTGAATTTTTTCCCTCTTTTGTTTCTTCCTACTTAATAAGGTTTTGCCTTGACTTGTTATTACAAACTCTTGGAATTCGAATTATGTATCAAGTTGGAAAAACATTCGATTTAGCGCAGAAACTAGATACTCGTTATTTTTAGATTCCCATTTAAGTTTCACAAAATTCAGAATTAGTGTAGAATCGAGTCTAAAAAATAACAAAAGTTAATCCGATGCATTATAACAAAATAAAAATATTGTGATGCAAGCGACTCGATTCGGTTCGTTTGCGCTCCGAGTTAAGATGCATGAATGCATCCTTTGAGTCAAAGATCGAAAAATTGTTATGGATTAAATTGGTAATTTCACGAATTTAATTTACTCTATTAACCATCAAGTTGTTAAGTTCGAGGGCCAAAGATTAAAATTAGGTTCTTTGAAGAATTCCACTAAAGAAGCCAAT